GGACTGCACACATGGGACCAAATTGAGATGAGCTAGGATCAGCTAGGAAAGACCCACGTCGCCGTCGGCCTTCTCATGTTGCAAGCTTCTCTTCTACAGCAGCCGGTTGTGCCTCGGTGTGTGGCGCCTCGGATGGCCGTAGTCCTTGGTCATGAACCACCTCATCCTCTTCCTCTCGTCGGCCCACTCCTTGGCGTGCTGCCTCCTGCCGTCGTCATGGCTCGCAGTCGCAGCACCTTCTCCTTGCACGGAAGGAAAAAAAACTTCTGTTTATTCAGTAACAGACGGTAAATGGTCATGCAGCAAAGATACTAGGAACTACTCAAGGTAACAGCAATGTTTACTACTCTACGAACTTACCAACAAGCACTTGCTGGTGAAGCAAAGACCTGAAGCTTAACAGGAAGATCAGAGCAACCAGGCTCACAAGGCCAAGGAACCTCATCCTGCGTTTTTTCTCGCTCTGTGCTCTGCTCTCAAGTCGCAGCCTCACCATGAGTAGAGCAGGTAGGTGGTCTGTATAAATAGGCCAGGCCTCTCATGTCAGAGCATTTCAACAATGCGCAGAGTTGACAGTTAAACTGTAGGAAATTTTGGAGGAATTCACAGATTCAGGGTACAGTTCCTCTGTCCCGTCAAAAAGAAAAAAAGGACGTCTTTGCCCTTTGGCTTAATTAACTAGTCTTCCGAGAACTGCATGTCCTAGCTACGAGAAGAATCTCTTGTTCCTGGAGCTAGCTCATCGGTTAATTAACCAAACTCCAAGTCTTTCTTCCTTGCGGTTGCCGCACTCTCCTTCTGGGTCCGAGTGCTGCTGCAGGATTAGTTTAAAGCTCGACAGCGTATGCTCGATTTCGCGCAACAAAGCAGAACCACGTGGCATTTAAACTCATGTCTTCCACACTCCAGCGAGGGTGACTCTGACTTGGAGATTCAAGGAGTTTGTTGACTCACGGAGATTCAAGGAGTTTGTTGACAACAATGAGCTCAAGGAAATATATATGCATGGGAGGAGATTTACGTGGACGAATGAAAGGGACCATCCGGTCATGACGAAGATTGATCGTGTGCTCGTCTCGGTGGACTGGGAACTCAATCACCCGGATGTTCTCCTCCAAGCTCTCTCCACCAACATCTCGGATAATACTCCATTACATCTAACTACCTCAGCCCCTTTCTGCCCCAAGCGTAGATTCCGCTTTGAGATGTATTGGACCAAGTTGGAGGGGTTTGAGCAGGCTGTTCGAGATGCTTGGGTGTGTGATGAAAATATCGTGGATCCCTTTAAGAGGATGGATGCACTGCTTAGGGACACGGCTGTGGCTCTACAAGCTTGGGGGCAACGGAAGACAGGCAACATTAAACTTCAAATCGCCATTGCAAACTACGTCATCCTCAAGTTTGATCGTGCCATGGAAACTAGAGCTCTAACCCCCACAGAGCAGTGGCTTAGAAGAGCGGTAAAACACGCGCTGTTGGGGCTCTCCTCGCTGCAACGCACCATTGAGCGTCAACGCTCGCGGCTGCGATGGATCCGAGAAGGGGATGCCAATACCAAGCTTTTTCAAGCTGTGGCGAATGGGAGACGTTCCAAAAACTTCATCCCCCACATCAGGCATAACGATGAGCTTATTACGGAGCAAGAGAGGAAGGGAGAGATTTTTACCGAGGCCTACGAAAGTTTTTTGGGACACGCCATGTCTAGGGAGGCTGATCTCGATCTAAATTTTGTGGGTATGGAGACACACGATCTGGCAGACCTCGTGACCATTTTCACCGAGGAGGAAGTCTGGAACACCATAAAGGAATTGCCGCTGGGTCGCGCCCCTGGGCCGGACGGTTTTGTGGCTGCTTTTTACCAAAAGGCATGGCAGATCATTAAAACGATGTTACGGCCATGGTGATGAAGCTCTATGTGGAGGACGGAAGGGGTTTTGGAAAGCTGAACAAAGCACACATTGTGCTCATCCCGAAGAAGCCGGATGCGGAGGTTGTGGGAGACTTCCGTCCTATCAGTCTCACTCACAGCGCCGCCAAGATGTTTGCCAAAATGCTCGCCAACCGTGCGAGGAGAAGGATGAAGGAGATCGTCATGGCAAATCAATCTGCTTTCATTTGTGGCAGACATCTACATGATAATTTTCTCTTGGTTAGACAAGTGTCTAGAAAGATACATGCTCGCAAGGAGGCTGGGGTGTTCCTGAAACTTGACATTTCGAGGGCTTTTGATTCCATCACTTGGCCTTTCCTGTTCGAGGTGATGAGGACAAAAGGTTTTGGCCAAAAATGGTTGGAGTGGATTGCAATCCTGCTTAGAACGGCATCCACTAAGGTGGTGGTCAATGGAGTCCCGGGCAGAAGCTTTATGCTCGCGCAAGGGCTAAGACAAGGAGATCCTGTGTCCCCCCCGCTGTTCATCATCGCTATGGACGCGCTGTCATGCATCATTGTCAAGGCATCTGAACTGGGAGTGCCACGTCCGTTCACCGGGGTCAAGCCAAATCAAAGTGTTTCTATCTACGTGGATGGCGTGGCCCTATTTGTCAGGCCTAATGAGGTGGATCTTCGGTTTGTCACCATGGCCCTCAAAGCTTTCGGAGATGCATCTGGTTTAAGAGTTAACTACGCAAAATCTTTTGCTATCCTTATACATGGCGATGAGGAGGATCAAAATAGAGTTACCAACTTGCTGTACTGCGATCTTGTGAAGTTCCCCTGCAAATATCTAGGCCTACAACTTGCCATTCATCAGCTAAAGAGGGCGGATTGGCAGCCTATGCTGGATAGTACAAAGTAGTGTGCACCGGGATGGCAACGAGGCCTGTTGCAAAGATCAGGACGCCTGGTGTTGGTTAAGTCTGCTGTTGCTGCGAAACCCATACACCACTTCATGATCACGGATGCGCCAACATGGGTTTTTGAGGAGCTGGATAAGTGGATGAGGGCCTTCTTCTGGGCTGGCAAAGAGAAGGCCTCGGGTGGCCAATGCATGGTTGCATGGAACGCGGTGTGTAAGCCGACGTGTTTTGGAGGGCTGGGAATCAGAAAACTAAAATTGCAGGGCCTAGCATAAGGGTCAGGTGGGAGTGGCTGAAACGTACAGACCCGGTGCGCCCATGGCAGGGCCTGAGCTTGATCAAGGACGATGATGCACGAGCAGTTTTTGACAGCATGGTCAAAATCGAGGTTGGGGAGGGCTCCAAGGTCCTATTCTAGAGGGATCATTGGATCCATGGTTTTTCCATTGCGGACATTGCACCCATGATACACGGTATGGTTGATTTGCGCACAAGGAATAGGCGCACAGTCAGGGAAGGATTGGACAATGGGAGATGGCTGCATGATGTGGATGGGGAACTGACTTTTGGATGCCATCTACAATTGGTGCACCTTAATCTGGCCTTGAGCACGGTGCAAAGAGATCCTAACACCCCGGACTACTTCTCCTGGCCCACTGACCCATCCGCTCTATACACGGCTAGGTCGACCTACCAGCGGCTATGCCTTGGTGACGAACGAGCCCCTTATGCATCATGTATCTGGAAGAGTTGGGCACTCTTGAAGTGCAAAATCTTCATATGGTTGGCTGTCCAGCATCGTATTTGGACATCTGATCGTAGGGCAAAGCATGGCCTCCAAGATCACCCCTCGTCTTGTTACACGTGCCTGCAGGACGAAGACAACGCCGAACACATCCTGGTCAAGTGTGGGTATGCTCGACATGTGTGGCACATTTGTTTTGACACCCTTCACTTGGCCATCAGGGCCCGGGTTGTTGACGATACTTTCCTTGAGTGGTGGATCGAGACTAGGAGGGGTGTACCTAGGGGTTTGAAGTGAGGCTATGATACTTTTGTCATCTTAGTAGCCTGGGAGCTCTGGAAGCAAAGGAACGCGCGTGTGTTCAACAGGGTGCAGCAACAGAGGACCCCGTTGGAGTTGGCGGATGATATCTTCCGAGAAGTTAAGCAATGGTGCCTAGCTAGTGTTGGAGTTGGTAGTTTAATGCATTTTGTGAGAGAGTAGCCCTAGAGTGTTGCGTCGGGTGTAAAGGGTGTTGGCCTAGCTTGTATGCTCTCATCTAGCTCGTGCCGTTCTTGTACATTTGCTCTCTTTCTTCTATAAATATATGGTACGCCTTTGGCATACTCTCAAAAAAAACTCTGACTTTTGATCTTTTTTCGATCGGCAAAATGATTATTCCTTTAGTGATCTAAATGCTCTTATATTAATTTTCAAGGGGTGGTATTAACAAGCATCGATTTCTCTTAAATTAACTATGCGATCTACTAGCACCTTAAATTAACTATGTGATCTACTAGCTGCTTCCAATGACAGTGTAGTTGCTCAGTGATTCTGGACTGAGACTCGAGACCAACCGCACTTGCTGGTAACATACGTGATTTCACTGATTTGAAAACAATGTGAATAATACATAGATGCACTCATCTATATCTTTCTTTCCCTAATAATAAAGGGGTTATATTTCCCTAATAATAAAAGGGTTATTACTTCTGGTCTTACGTCACTAAATTGCCCTCGAAATTGTAATAAATTACCCATCAACGCCACCCATAAGTGAAGAAAACAATTGGTTTTCTCCCTCGAAGTCGCCGTCGGTTATAGTTCTTATAGAGCGGGTTAGCACTACTGCAGGATGCTGCTAATGCGACACTACGATTAGAGACCCTTCGACGAAACTGTGTGCAATGCAGTAATCGCAAACGGTGGTGTAAAAAACCGTCAAAAAGGCGCAAAACGTTTGCGATGATGGATGCATCAAACACGGTTCAGATTTTAGTTGTGTGTGTGATTCAGGGCATACAGTTCAGTTCAATTAACTGTTATCGATGAGGAGGAACAAAAGAAACAGGCAGCCAGATGAAGATGTGTGCGATGTACAACATACGGTTCACTCAGATAAACTGTTTGTGATTAGGAAACACAAAAGAAACGGTCAGCCAAATCAAGGTGTGTGCGATGTACAACATACAGTTCACTCAGATGAACTGTTTGTGATTAGGCAACACAAAAGAAACGGTCAGTCAGATCAAGGTGTGTGCGATGTATGACATGCGGTTCATTCGGATGAACTGTTTGCATTGAGACAAGAGAATAGAAATGGTTCAATATAACAAATACCATAAATATTGCAAGGTTCAAATTCAAAGATTACAACGCCCAAATTCAAACATTGCAAGATGCGTCATTTCTGAAAAAGGGATCAGCCGCTCACAAGTCATGTATGGGTTTGACACAATAACTTCCAATTGCTTTGCCATATGCTCTACCAATACGAAGTTCGACATTTTTGGAGGCACTTCCATTGCACAGTACCAGCCAGCTCTGATAATCATACCATTAATCTTTCCTAATTAAATGCGTGTTCAACCTCAGTACCCTCAGCACCTTTGCTCTGGCAAGAAAGAACCTGGCGAGTGTATTCTCCGGTGGGGTCCCTCGGTAGGAGTTCAAAGTAATATCTGAGAGATGCAG